CTTCCTTCCTTCCTTCCTTCCTTCCTTCCTTCCTTCCTTCCTTCCTTCCTTCCTTTTGCCTAGCATGAATCTCCAGCCATTCATTTTCACTGGAAGAATTCTGAGGGGAAACAATGTCTATTCATTTTCTTCAGTCATGAAGAATTTTACACACTCCTATCCCATCCTCTCTTACTTAGATTTGTTTTAAATAATCAGAACCATGAATAGTGACCGTTTTGATGCCTACTCCCTTTTCTAATCAGCTTCTTTCAAAGCAAGTAAAAACTGATAGTTTTCACAACAAAGAGTTAGGAAATCAGGTTCCTTAAGGAGCAATGTTTTTGAATGCTAATAAATGACTTGGGGAAGCTTTAGCTAGAAAGTACGGGTACAATTTTTAAAAATTACGAAGTGTACCCTATTCTTGTCTTAATGTTACCCATTTCATGTTTCTGCTCCCTTGGCTGGATGTGGCATCGTGATTTTCCCCTTTGATAGGGAGAAGCAAAGAAGGTTATTATAAATTGCTTTGCCCTGTGGCATTGTTAGCACAGGGAGGTGTGTTTGTGAAGCTGGTGGTGGAGTTGCAAGGCAAGTCCATTTGTCCCCGACAAAGCAGCTAGTCAATTTGAAAGGAGTAGGAGCAGATAATCTTTTAAACGGCAATTTTAGCAAAGGGGAAATGCTCACTTTGTGGTTGAAAGTTGCTGTGGTGTCAGCTGAACTTTACAAGTCAATAACACACTTTACTTTTAGGATCTTGATTAGGGCAAAGAAGTCAGCTTGTTAGATAGGGATGGGGGTCCCCAAACTAAATTCCCTTGCTCAGGTCACTCACCTGTGCCCAGGTAGAAAAGCATTGATGGAAGATCCATGCCGGGAAAGGTAAGAATTTAGTCTTGTAGTCAGGTTAGTTCCCAAGGAAAGAAAGATCAGAAAAACACTGAGGCTGCCTTGTGGGGAATCTGCAGTTGGGGCTAATCAGAAAGGGGTTTTATTTTCATGCTGAGAAGAAAGTCCAGCCCTCATGGGATGGAGAAGGGGTGGGAGTAGGTACTAAACAGGCTGAGAAGCCGAGAAGTGCTAGAGGAGGTGGAGTAAAAGAGACAAAAGATCACTGCCAAAACTAGGTATAGAATTAATGCAACTAAATTAAAACAGGACCAAAGTTTTTCTTCTTCCTCTGTCCCCTGCTTTCTGTTCCCCCTCTGTTTCCTGCCCCCAAAGACCTATCTCACATCAAAAATCAGTTTTTGATTTACAAAGGCATAGATGTGCTTTGTTTGGGTTGTTTCAGTTGAAATAAAAACAATGAAAAGTCCAGGAACATCTTAAAGATTAACAGGTTTCATGACGTAAGATTTCCTGCACAGCATCCGGGCAGGCAGTGAAAATGTCAGGGATAGGTAACAATCAGGCTACCAGATTGGAGCTGCAAAACTCTGCTTGTTCACTAGATGGCAACAAAGTGATAGATAAAACTATAACTCTTTACTGCCATCTAGTGGGCAATCTGAGATTTGCAGTCCATGTCATGCTCTTTGTTGTTGTTGTTGTTTAGTCGTTAAGTCGTGTCCAACTCTTCGTGACCCCATGAACCATATTGCGCCAGGCCTTCCGGTCCTTCACTGCCTCCCTGAGTGCTTATTTTTAATTTTTTAGCTGATTTTTATGACCACTCATCTTAACCAAGTAACTCAGGGCAGCTAAACACGAATATAAGTAACAAGGGAATACAAAATTTAAAAGTGAGTGAAAATCTTCACAAAACTGTCTCAAAATACAGAGCAGAACACAGATCACTCCCATGTTGCTCT